TCTCTCTCTCTCTCTCTCTCTCTCTCTCTCTCTCTCTCTCTCTCTCTCTCTTTTTCTCTCTTTCTCTTTCTCTCTGCCCTCCTCATCCATCTGTGTAATAATAACAACACATCATACGAGAAATTTTTAAATATGATAATGCGATAATGTGTTATTGATTGAAACAAGTGAAGTATTTTATCGACGAGATATTTATCATCTCTAAAGTATAATTGTATCGAAAGTGAAGTTATCGAAACACTTGAGGTGAGAATACATCTTCTGGAAAGGGGATCTTAATTATTAATTACGTGATTAATTGGAGATTAATTTTTATTTTTATATTTCAAATATCCGAAGTGGCCAATTCTCATTTAATATTTACCGCGTTATTATAACTCAAAATAAAAAAGAAGAAAAAAACCCTCGATAAATCGGCGTTGATTAAAATTTTTCCAATAGAAAAAAAAAAAAGAAAAAGGCAACAAGTCTTCTTCGATCGAAAATATATCCTTGCAAGAGAGTAGTTTTCTAAGGATTGAAAAATTAATAATATTTGTAGAAGCGAAAACAAAGCGCAATGAGATTAAGAAAAGACCATCATATGTATATTTTTCCTTTCCACTTTTCCCTTTCGAGAAAAATTGATTTTGAAAAGTTTTCGAGGTTATGCAACGATTGTCATTCTTCTATGATTGAAATAATTTCAAAAACAATTGATGCAAATGTAATATTCATTGCATTTTATAACTAGTATCAATAATTCTTAAAAATAAATATGATCACGATTAATTTTAAATTCACAATTATTTTATCAACTTTGCAAATAAAATAAAAAATCTTTGGTAAACACGAGAAGAAAAAAAAAATTCGAATACATAAATATTCACAAGGTGAAGTTAATTACAAAAGTAACAAGAAATCTAATCCGTGAAGGCGATCTTAAAAGGTAATCTTAAAATACTATACTTCATCCGAGCCACGTTATGAAGCTTTGTATTTGCATGTGTTAACAATATTTTAACACGTGGAATGTAGCCAAGCTACCAAGTAACCAAATAAAATCAATTTTAGTTATCGCACGTGTTACCGTGTTCGTGCAACGTAACCAGTATCCAAATCAAAGTACCTCCATTTTGCAAAATTCTCGAAACTCAACTCAGTTTCGCGAAAAATATAAAAATGTTTTTTTTCTTCAATCTTTTTCCCTTCACGCGGCCCGCATTTTCGAATTTAACGTATTATACGGGGTGTGTTACGCGTAAAGCCATATTTATCGAGCGAGACGGAGGAGCGAGAAATAGAGAAAAATTACCCACCTGTGTTGCGGGGGCGGCGTAGGCGTTCTCGACAGAGGGAAACTGGCCACTTCTCTCGTAACTGACAGCGATCGAATCGATCCGAATGTTTGGTCCGGGGATAAATTAGCACCGACACTTTGCACCATCCCGCTACTGAAACAGATCGATTCGCTGACGTCAATTAAATCTCTAAGTCTTTCTTTTTTTTTAGAAATTAATTTTTGTTCGCTTCGCGCTTTTTTTTTTTTTTCTTTGACGATTTTCAAGCGGTTTCTTATTTAAATAAGAAAGTTTTTTATTAAATAAGAATATTTATTTGTAATGGTAATTTGGATATGTATTATCAATGTATATATAAAGTCAAGTTATATAAATAACATTTTAAAAAAGTATCGCGTTGGAGAAAATTATTGTAAGTAAAAAAAAAATTACAACGTTGCCTTTTATATGTCTTAAAGTGTCTTTGAAAAACTTAAAGCTGATGCAGTTAATCTGTTTACGTGAAAGATGGATGGATTAGAAAGATTTATGTAAATGAACTTTACCATGTATTATGTAAACAAAGATGAGAATGATATAAGATATCTTTATTACGTTTTGAAAGGTTAATTATATAAGTGTACGATACAGAATATTGTATTGACAAAGGTAAATGTATAATTTTAAGATTACAATAGTGATTTTTAAGAGTTTAAGATAAGAAATAATAATTATTCGAAATTAAATAAAACTTTATTTGCTATTTTCACAAATAATCTTAATTATTACATTAAAATATATATTTTGTGCTTGAAAAATAATTTTAATTTTGCTATTTATATTCGAATAATTTTTTTCTAAGTTAATTAAAGAAACATTTTTGCAAATGAAAATGTTGAAATAATGCGAGAGAAATTGTTTTGTACGTGCATTTCCTTCGACACGTGTCAATTTTCCATTCAATTATTACTTTTAATTATCAGAATTTATTTTTCTCGCCACGTTCAATAGTTGCGTGACGACAATTTATAAGCAATTACATCCGTTTGCAACAATGTATTATTAATGTATCACAATTTCCAACGTCAATACGTTTATATGTGCATGCATTGGTAATGGGAGATGCAAATTTGACAATAGAAGAAAAAATGGTATTATTGCTCCCTGAGTTCCACGTCTATAACAAAAACATTTATTATGATATAATATGCTTCTATTAATTATTTAAAAGATATATATATATACACATTATATATTTTTTACATTAGATATAACATAATTATCGCTATTATTAAATAATTTAATTTGCAAAATAAAAATTTTTCATCTTGCCGAGAAAATATATTATAATAAGCTTAATATCTTAATATCTTAAGTTTCAAATGTAAATTAAAAATTGTCAAAAGTATGTAAGTTAATGTATTGCATTCTTCATAAAGAAAAATTCTTTAAACAACTATTAATACAATTTAAATTATAAATCAGATTTTAAAAATCAGACTGAAAATATAAAATTCTATAATTTATATTTTAGAATAATAGTTGTATTATATTAAAAAATAGGATTAAACGTTCAATATAAATGGAAAATCCGTTAATAACAACCATTAATATAATTTTCGTGTCAAATTACGTGAAGCAATTTCACTTTAACACAATGTCAAAAAAATGAAATTATTTTATTTTTATTAATATCAAAACTTTCAATAAATTTTTCGCTTGTTTAAACTCTGTAAATTGACGCAAATTTATAAGCAATTTATATATATATAAATAAAATTTCATTCAAAATACAAAAACAAAAAACAAAAATCTTCAAAAAAGAAAATTGCTCCCTATATCTGTAAACTTTGATTTCATTCATAATTAATTTCGAAAAGAAAATTTTTCCAAAATTTAATTTGATTATTAACTCAAATTAATTTCATCCCCTTCAAAATCATCAAGAAAAAAAAAAAGTAAAAAAGAAAAAAACTACCATTCAATTCGTTTCATTAAAAATCAGCATTTTCGAGCCACTTAAATTCCCCTATATAATGCACTCATATATACTCTTCCCACCTAGCTACCGTGCATCTGTTGAAAACGAGAAAAACGACCTCCCCGGAACCGTCTGGAAAAACAATGCAACGGCGGCGGCCGGATCGATACGAGCGACAGGTACGAGATCCCCATAGCGATTACTCGAGACTGACTGGTTCGCTCCGAGGAGGAATATGGTTATCGATATATTACAGGGCAAAACCCGACCATTTCGAGATGCTGAACGATGAATTATTCAGGACGAGGTGGCAACGGTAGGACGTCGAAGTTGTGCAGTCGACAAACCGCCTCCTCCCCATGCTCTTCCCCTCTCTCCCCGCTGTTAAAATGTATTTTCTCTATGGCGGATCGGCGAAGTTTCCGCATCGTGAACCGCTACTACCGTTATATCACGTGTATATATATGTATATCATCCCGATAATGATGTATCGATTAGGCGAGTTCATTAACGAAACTTTTAA